TTCTGGTGAAAGAGCCATGAGTTTTAATTAAAACTCATGGAAATAATGTCAGTGACTGATTTTCTTGTTTATGACACTGAATAGCATCATTTCTTTGACTACAGAGGAGAAAAAGACAAATCTAACTTAGAACATTTTTAACAATATATAGGAGCTTATTTTAACTAAATAATTCATAATTACTGTCTAAAAAATACTTCTTCCACTGGCAGATTATTTAATTTATAACAACATTTTTTAGATGTTAGCAAAGTAATCTGCTGGTGGAGTTAGTACTTTTCATTAGATTTTAAACAGTGATGCATTCTGGGTAAAGAACGTGTGGAGAGGAAGTGGAACTGCTGCGTAAACAGTGTTCATGCCCTTCAAAATAAGAGCGAGAACATGTGCGTCTGTTATAACCAGATGTTGAACTTTATTCAACTGAAAGTTTACAAAACATCCAAGGATAAGAGTTTAAATTCATTTGATGGAAACGCCAAACATTTTCAGAGTTATTAGCAGATTAGCGTAAGTGTGCCCACCGCTGCTCCCTCGTAAATCCGGTGCAGATCAGAAGGAACAAATGGTGAGTAAAGGATGGAGCTCATGGGAGAGCTGTGTGAGCTCCGGTTTGTTCCTGGATCTCTGCAGTTCGTTTGGCCGGCTCAGATCCTGCAGCCACAGCGAGCGGCTGATTCTGCTCCATCACCGTTTGGGTTTATCCTCCTGGCTCTTTCCACCAGTCTGACCATATTTCTGCAATCTCACTTTTGGGTTTCAGTATTTCTCTGAGATTCTTCTCCTCCATGGGGTGCATTGCCTTTTGTAAAGTAAGGCAACTATTTTATTCTAAAGATGAGATTAAAATGTGTCTGTGTGGGTTGGCTTTTCTCTTAATCCTCTTAAAATTATCTGTCACTGCTGCCGCTGCTCCTTTATGCCATATTAATAAATCCTTTTAAAATGAGACTGGGTTTCACTGGGCTGCACATCTGGACTGAAAACTGAAAATAAACACTTTTATCCCGGCGTCAGTGAGAGAGAAGAAAAAGAAATGTGATATTTCACAGAGAGCTGGGAGGATTAAGTGAAATAACAACATGGCTTTTCTGAAGAGGCGCCACGCTCAGAGACGTGAACCTTGTCAGAACCGTGGAGTTTTTTATTAAATCAAACGAGTCGCCCAGTCGTCTCTGATAAGCTACAAATAATATTTGCTGTTCCCTGCTGCTGGAGTCGGGTACAGAGAGACGGAAAGGACAAATAAACACAACAAGGCAGGAAGGAACGACAGGAGATCAACAAGGTGATAAAAACACCAGGAGAAGTTTCTGTTTTTCATTTAACTTTAGGGCTTTGGGATATTCCTCTAGTCTCAGTTTGATTTGGGACCAAAACATTTTCTGCTGCTGTGGTTCTCAGACCAACCAAAACCTGTTCCTCTCCTGGCCTGTGGGGGCGCTGCTCCAAGAACCACTGAAGGAAACGACACAAGAACCTCTGAAGACACTGAGAGCAACTTCCTTGTAGTTTTGATGTAGCAGCAAAGTTACAGCCAAATATAAGATTCAAATTAAATGAAGTTAGAGTGAAATGCTGAGTACAGTCCAGTGGTTTTTGGGTTAGACAACCAGTGGAAACCTTTCCAGCTAGCTAGCTAATGCTAGCTTGTAGGGTCAACAAGCCCCTGATGTTCTGATACGTTTCTCAGTCTTTAGTGCCTCCATATTTTGTTTTCAGGGACTCGGCTCTTGATGCTGTGCTCAATATCTTCCTGACTTCCTGTCAAAGGCTTCAACAACATGACTAATGGAGTAAATAATTAAATCTCAGCCCTCCTTCTTTAAGCTCCATCCCTGCCTCCCCTCTCATGTCCTTTTAACAAGATGAGAGGATGCTCCACCGTTCTGTGATCTATTTTGAGCTTATGTTTCCTCGATGCTTCTGCCAAGCCTCATCAAGGAGCATCAGCACGGAGAGCCGCCCTGCAGAGACGAATACATTCCTTCATATTAAGTGCAGTTTTTCTAATGCAGCATGAGCAAATCTGAAATGATCTGACCTTCCATAAAACCAAGAATATCTCCCATCCTGCTTAACGTGTCGCGTTTCATTTTGATTTCAACGTCAGTTTAAAAACTTTTACAGCTTTAAAGGGTGAAAATAATCAGTTAGACTAAACATCCGTACCAGCAGCTGTGAGTTAATCTTCCTGAGCACCAGGAAGACATGAGCGCTGGCGTAGGAAGATGATGAAAACCCAAATGAAATGAAATTGGGTTTATTTATGGAGGCCATCTAAACAAATTACTGTTGAACAAAGTGCTCTGCAGAACATTAAAGACAGCAAAAACAAAGTAGAAAAGCTGCAGTAATAAAAAATACACACCAGGTTTTAAATGCTTTTGCCAGCAGATCTCTGAGGTGCATGTTCCTGCATTTCGCCTCAGTTTTTTTAATTATTATGAATCGTTATGCAAATAACACAAGAGGTTTTCTAAATTTAGTCAGTGTCAAAATTAATCTGTAGATTCCAGGAAGCAACATGAAAGTTTTCCAAAAGTAAACTTTAAGTTCCCCAAAGGAAACCTGCCAGTTCCTGTAGGTAGACCTGGGTGTTCAGTTCTCCAGCAGAGGGCGCCATCGGGCTGGCACCTGTAGGGTGGAACTCAGCAGGTGAGAGTTCAGTCTAGTGGTAAAACCTGAGTGCTCTGCATTTCCCTTCTGCAGAGCGTGTTTGTGCGATTCTTCCTCTTGATCAAATCTTTGGACCATCAACACCTGTTAGTCCTCTTCAAGAAAACCACCAGGCTGCGTTCACACCAGCCCCGTTTAATCCAACTCCAGTTGGTTTGCCTAGAAGGTCCAGTTTGCTTTGGGGAGGTATGAACGAACCGAACTCTGGACTGCCTGGAAACCTCCGTCTGGGTTCGGCTGAAGTGAATTCTGGCTCGGTTTGAATGCATGTGTGAACGCAAAGCGGACCAGAAGCAGGAAGCAGACTACAGCACAGGGCATTCTGGGTAAATAGAACCCAAACAAACATGATAGCTTGGCGCTAGCGGGAGAAATGGTGGGTAGTTTTAGTCAAAACCAAATAAAAATCTTACAACCGCTAAAATCTGACGCCTCCATTTCTATTTACATTTTGTGTAAAAGGAAGTTTGGTTGACCCGGTTCTACTGGAACCAGAACATCTGCTCCACCTCCAGCTGCTGTGGTTCTGAGTCAAACCAACCTGTTTCCCTCCTGGCCTGTGGGGGCGCTGCACCAAGAACCACTGAAGGAAACGACACAAAAACCTCTGAAGACACTGAGATCAACTTCCTTCTTCACCATGGAACCAAGATGGAGGCGTCAGATTTTAGCGGTTGGAGGATTTCTCTTTAGGCTAAAGACCAGGAGCCATTTCTACTGCTAGCGCTAGGCTAGCATGTTAGGTTTGGTTGTATCTACCCAGAATGCCCTGCGCTGTAGTCCACTTCCTGCTGTTGGAGCGTCTCCATATGCATTCAAACCGAACCAGAGTTCCCTTCAACCGAAGACCGAGGTTTTAAGGCGGAGCAGAGTTTGGTTTTTGGTTTGCTTAGCGTTCGTTCCTCCCCAAATGAACCGGACTGTCCAGGCAAACAGACTGGAGTTGGATTAAAGCGGACTGAACTGAGCTGAACGGCACCATAAGTTTCAAGAATCAACTTGTTATGACTCAAGAGAAACAAGAATCCTGTAACACCTGGACTCTGTAAGCAATCTGTAAAAGGAATGTCTCCATTTTCCTTCGCTAAAAATAACAGCAGAGCCAGTTATGGTAAATAAAAGTCGGTCAGAGAAGAGTTTGCAGAGAGATAATTAATGTAATGAAGCTGTCTCCCGCTGCTGACCTTATCTGGCTGACAGGTTCCTCTCTGCTCGTCATCTCGAAGCGGAGGAAGGCTTCATCTCCAATAAACCCAGCAGCTCATGTGTTGCTGCTGATGCGGTCGCCTGTAACACAATTACAGCCGACGACTGAATCCAGCCTGGAGCTGGGGAATCAATTTCAGGCTGTCTGTCGGCAGCGCCGGGTCCGGCGGTGTCAGGAGGTGACGAGCTGCTGCTCATCACACCTGGAGGTGGAACCAGACGGTGCAAATGATTACATGGAGCGCTCATAAACATCAGCAGCACTGGATTAGCCTGGCCTGAGATGGAGGCTGAATGTTTGAACAGAGCGACTTCCACAGCTCCACAGGAAAGTTTGTGATGTGGAAACAAACACAGCGACGCCTTGGAGGAGTCTGACAGAGCGCCGGGAGCTAAAGGGCAACGCCGGACGCTTTGTACACATGACCTTTAAAAACAAAATGTCTGACACCAAACAAAAGAAACTTCAATTCAAAGCTCAACACAGACGCACCAAATCCAGCCAGCAGTAAAGGAGTGTCTTTGAACGCACCACTCTGAGGAAGGTTAGCGAGCTAAACGTTTAGCTTGAGGCGAAATATGTAGCTCCAGCCTGGATGTTTAATTAGCAAACTAAATATTTAGCTGCAAACTAAATCATTCATTTAAAGGTTCTGTGGTTGGATTCTCCACAGAATGAAGTTCATAAACTTCATTTAATTTACTAAATATGTTTTTATAAGCCGCATATTGAGCTCCAAACTAAATGTTTAGCTAGGAAGATAATTTTTAGTTTGAAAACTGATGATGAAAATATCTTTGAAAACTGAACCTTCGTTTTGTTTCCTGTTATAAGATAAAATTATTGCTGTTAATTTCTGACTGTAACGTTACAAAGGCTTCCAGAACGGCTCCTAAGAAAACAAAAATAGATTTTTAAAATTTTATTTTATCACTTTAGTGTCACAACAGAATTGAGAAAAAGCATTTTGCGTAATTTACAGACATTTTTGTGGAACTTGAGACATTTTCATTCAAACTTGTTACATTTAATCAGACTGTCCTGATGTAAACTTTAATAAAGATACTGTTACCTGATTTATTAAGAAGGCTTACATGTTTAACTAAGACATCTGTGTAAATTTAGATTTTTCTCGTTGTCTTTTTGTGATGATCTGCGTCCTGAACCTTCACCAACCTGCTGCACCATCTGACGCCGAACGGCGCTGCTGGCTGCTTACACTGTCAGGAATCAGCACTTAAAAAGAAAAACCTTCTGTTTTTTCTTTTTTCATTTTCATTTTATGGTGACAAACATTTTCATTTAGCTTCGTAGGGGGGCTTTTATGTCCTGGATAATGGAGGTCGCAGCAGAAACAACAAATATGATTTTAAATCTGGAGGAAACTCATTTCTGAGCACCAACATAAAGCATTCACCAGGTTTTATTACTTCACCTAAACTACATCCAGGCATGCAGCATGTTTGTAGAGTAACCGAATGCTTTAACGCAGCAATGATCTAATAAAACGCTCACACTTTTCTCTCCCAGATTTGTCCTTGAGCCTCTCAGTGATTCCATAATGGGAACGCTCTGCAGCGGAGATCCATTCATCTCCCAGAGTGGGATGTCACTTCGGACATCTGAGCCTCTCGTTTAATGTCTTTTTAGCGATAAGAGCCGCTTTAAATCCAGGAGTTTTTCTCTATCAGAGCAAAACACTGGAGACAAAGACCGAAACACAACTACAGCAGAACAGACAAACAACAAGAAGCAGAGCGATAACATCAGACACAAAGCTGCTGGCTGCTGCAGAGGAAGGAAAGTTTACAGGAGAAACGATGTCTGGTTCTGTTTTCAGTCGAAAACCTTCTGCAGCTTCTGGAAGAAAACACAAAGTGAACAAGCGCTGCATCAGAAAACCGGTTTTTAAACTAGAACTAGTGTTAAAAATTCACTGTTTTTACATTTTCCTGTTTCTACTAATTCTGGAAACAATAAAAACCATTCAGACAGTTTTTGGTGACTAGTAAATGTTTAAGTCTGGAAAATGATTATTTAGTCATAATTGTTGAGCATCAAGCAAATTAGCAAGCTAAATATTTAGCTTTTATTAAACTAAATACTTAGCTTGCTAAATAAACATCTTGTTTGGAGAAAAACGTTTAGCTACAAGAACTTGGAGATTAAATAACTCCAAACTAGACTCCAAATATTTAGCATTGTTTGCTAAATATTGCTTATTTAGCAAACAATGTTTGGTTGCTAAATTTTAGCTAGCAATACTTGCTAACTAAACATCTTGTTTGCAGCAAATATTTACCCCAAAGCTAAACATTTAAATATTTTAGATTGTAAATCAACAAAAGCTCAGTGAGAAACTAACCTGAGCGGCTGGTGAAGGAGGAAGTGACATCACAGCTTCTGCATGAAAATAAAATTAAGAAAATAAGAGAATTATTTTTGATGGAATGGGCTCTTTGCACCTCAGCTTCCGCGTTCGGGGAAAAGCGGCTCGATTGTTTTCGATCCAATACAAATATCATTTACATTAGGTGCTTGCAGGGCTTGGCCAAGGTTTGTACATCGATCCTTAGCCCCAACAAGTCAGCTGGAGAAAGGTTTTAGATGTACGCCTCGTTATACATTCACTGACACGAAGGTGAGTTTTACTTAAACTTTGTGGCTAACATTAACGTTAGCTTATGCTAGTAGGCAATATTCTCGGACATTGTTCTTGTAAAATGTGCTATTTAGTATCTAAACATTCTAACGGACAATGTATTTATCTTATTTTCAAGTATATTATGTGTGTTTATTGTTAGTGTCACAGACTAACGGGGAGGTTACGGTTCGGACTTTTTACTTCCTAATCCTGACGGAGCTCAACAAGCCTCATAGCTTGACAGTAGCGCAGCTCTGGTGTCAGAGATCTGATTCAGCTGTTCAGGTTCAAAGTTGCTGCTTTTAGAGAAATATGACCGTGTTGCTTCATGTCTCCGTGTTATTTCGTTTTATTACCTTTGCGTGTTTCTTGTTCAGAGCTCAGATAGGACGGTGTTTACAGCAGTATGTACAGGTGGATCAGTTGCTCGGCTGTGTGGCTCTGGTCTGCTCTCTCGTTCCCATAAACTCTTTCAGGCTGAATATAGAAGTGATTCCATGGAAATAACTCAGGGAGGCTCCTTTATTTATCATCCCTATCTCTGGTATTTTTAGGCTGATCCGGAGTGAAGTGAAGGCTGCAAACTTTGCTGTGCGGCGTTAGCTGGTAGCGACAGATATTTACAAGCCAGGATAGCTTGGAAATTAACGAAAACTTAAAAGCCCATTATATTAGGAAGACAACAATGTTAATAGTATTGTTTTTTTTTTGCATCTGAAATACGACTTAGTCTTTTCTACCAGTCATGGTAACTCAAAGCGAAAAAAAGTGAGCCGCATTAGATCCTGGAGATGTGACGTCAACGCCTTAGGTGCAAAGAGCCCATTCCGATTTTTTTGCCAGGGCCGTTCATACTGCCAGTAAATGCGACCTGTATGCGTTCTGGAGT